CCCCCCCCCCCCTAGAGCTTCGCCCCCTGGGCCCCTACCAGGGACTGCCGCCCCTGGACCCCACACAACCTACTTGTGAATTATTTATTTTTTATTTTAGATTTAACTATCTTTTAGTGATGGATAAATTCGTTATATTAATACTTATTGTGTCCAGTTCGTATAAATAAATAATGCAAAGTGCATAAACTTCGAATTCATTATTTGAGTTACTTATTTTAAAATTTATATCAATATCCTCACATGTATAACAAAAAATCTTGTACGTACTCGTGTGATTGACTCGCACTCGTGGCCGATGCTAGTAACTCGTGTGCTCAACTGGCACTCGTTCCCGGCAACTTTGGCCACTTGAGCGCGTCGATCACAACTCGTGCCGGTAATCTTTTTTTCCGCACTCGTAACGTAAACAATTTATTGTTACTTAATCACTCATATAAAGTTCACTAATTATTTTTCTCTAGTTATACTTTGTAAGTAACGAGATCTGGTTGCCAATAATCACCACTATACATAGTATTGGCGAGTTAGCGTATTTAACCCCATAGTTTAAAAAAAATCTTTCGTCCACTTTTTTTATAGAAAAAATAGCAGAAATATTTAATTAAATTGTTGGAAAGGAATTTTTTAAAATTCATTTAAAACACCGTCAAAAAGGTCTGTAAACCAAGTTTTTAGTCATTTTCGATGCGAAAAAAAAATTTCTTGCAACAAACGAAAAACACTCTGAAGTAGAACTTGAAAAAACAAAGAAAATAAAGTTTCTTGAGTTTAAGTCAGTCAACAATTTTTCCCACAAAAAAATTGAAACCATCGAAAATGGTCATTTTTAGACATTTAATGACAGTGCTTCTAATAATCCTACAAACTTTTTTCGGAGCTGAAATTGAAGGCGCTTGTAAAATCTAGCCTTAATAAGAATTTGGTTAAAAATTTTTTTCAAGTTTTTCCAACATTTGCAAAAAAAAAGACACGCATAACTTTGCTTCGCGACGAGGACAAATAAATGACAAATACAATTCATAAGCATAAAATTAGGTGACAGTTCTCCTAAATGACTAGCAAATGAATTAAAACGACCGATCATGACATTTGCATTGTCACATGCCAACCAAACAACATTATCCCACGGAATTCCAAACTATTCAAATTTATTTTTAGGAGATTTAAAAACTATTTTTGCCGAAGCCAAAGTTGCCATTATTATCAGTAAAGAAAAAGGTACTTTTTTCAAGATTTCTTCCACTTTTAATTCAATGTCACAAACTAAAACGTTAACAATAAGTCCCGAGCATTTCGTACTACCAACTGACATGGACTGCGTGGCTGTAGAATTCTCAGACATTTTTTTAATTGAAGAAAGCAAGTCATTTATAATGTTACTACTAATGTTATGCTGAGCGAAAAAAAGGTATAAACTGAGCTCAGACTGTTAACACTGTTCTTTTTCCGATAAGGATGTTACCGCAGGTGCAACAAAATTTACCATTGCTTTGTCATGATACTGTGAACAAGTGTGCTTCAAGAAATCATCTTTTGTACTGACACAAATATCTACTTTACAAGCTAAGCATTTAACTTTACCATGGGTATCAGATGATTCAAAGCAACAGTGAAATATTTTGTCACGCAACCAATCTACATTAAAAGTCTTTAGTATTTTGGACTTCTCAGAATGCGATGCCTCGGAGCTTTCACGTTCACGCACACGACCCGTTCTGTTATGCAAACTTTGCAACATATCAACAACAAACTCTTACCTTGCTACTGCTAATAGAAGTACCATGTTTGTGTCTTTTTTTTTTACTACTTTTTTGTTAACTTACTTCAATTCAAGTTTTAAAATGTTTACGAAAAGAATAATGGTTTTTGTTCTAACGTTGCTTCCTTGACGTCAAATTAACTCTGCAACTTATGCTTAATAACTTTCCCAATTTTGTCGCCTAGAACTTGTTTTCTTTATTTTCATTTTATTTATTTTTTATTTTGTTTTTTTTATTTTTTCGTTTCGTACGTAAATGTAAATAAATAACTACGCACGTAATGTGGCCACAGTAAATGTGCCGGTCTCAAGCCCGGAGAAACTACAGAGAGAGCGTGCTGTAATAAA